TGAGTTTTCAAATGAGATCTCGAATGTTCCAGAAATATTCTGGTAATATTTAGAACGTTTTGTGGAGCATCTAGGGTGGTTACAACAATAATAATTTGAAGAAATGTTGAATTAGAAAATTATATTTTTTACATTCTAGAATGTTAGAAAGTAAGTGGAAATGCAAAATTCGAAAAAATTGTCGATTATTTCGAAAATTTATTTCTCAAGAACTAAAAGTGATTTTTCAAAACGGCTTTTTGCATTAAAAAGAGGATACTTTAATTAATAATTGGTGATATTTCCACAAGGATCTTTCAAGAAATTAATTTTATAGCGAATTTTGAAAGTTATCGATGAAAATTGCAACATCGAAAATTTTATCAAAACTTCAAATATTGTTTTCTCAAAAATTAAAAGTTATTTTTCAAAACGGGTTGGTTCATTGGAAAGAGGACACTTTTATTAACACTTTGGGAAATTTTCATACTCATATTCCAAGAAATCGATTTTATACGAATTATTAAAACTTAATCGGCGAAAATTGCAAAATTCGAAAATTATTTGATAAATTTATTTCTCAAGAACGAAAAGTGATTTTTCAAAACGGCTTTTTGCATTAAAAAGAGGATACTTTAATTAATAATTAATAAATTAATTTTATAGCGAACTGACAAGAAAATATTTAATAATTAATTAATTATTCCTTTTTCAAGAAATCTAAAAATTCCAAGAAGATAAGGATATTGACAAGAAAAATAAAAAACATAATCGTTCGTTTAATTACAAACATTTTTCATGCGAATACGATTAATTAGGATTTATCAAAAAAAAATTTTTACATTCCAAAGAATTATTGAAATGTTCTTAGTAAACATAATGTCTTATCTATCCCAAATTAAAATTGGAAAAACCAAGCTAAATAAATATTTAGTCGAGATTGCTACAGATGGCTTAATTTTCAAGTTTTTGATGTGCCCTCTATTAATGAAAATCTCAAATTGATTGAGGAGTTGTGTATAATGATACCTATAAATATAGTAATTTTAATGAAATTCTAAATTGTTTTATTAATAAGTTGCTTCAGATAATAATAATGAATTAATTAAGAATAATAATTTTTTAATAATAAATTTGAATAAGAAAGGTGTCGCCCTCTTAAGTATTTTATGTGAACTTTGAACTAAAATACTGTTTTTAGAATTAAATTTATTGTTCATAAGGTTAAATTAACGATAATTTATTCATGGAACGAGTATCTTTATATTAACGATAAAATAGTTGTATAATTATATAACGTAAATAGATTTGTTTCACAATAAGAGTTAAATTCTGTTGTTGCATGTGGATTGGTGTCGCAAGGTGGCGCGCACGCGCATAGTATAAGTAATTTGACAGAAGGTACAGATTGTGAGTAGCATTGAACAAGTTATTAACGTCCATTGTGTTGTAAAAGTGACTGCTTTTAAGTTTGCCAGCAGATAGTTGACTGTTTAGCTGAATGTTGAACGGTTTATGATAGTTGAAAGATGTCTTCGCCAAGTGCTGGAAAAAGACGGATGGACACCGATGTCATTAAACTGTATCCTTTATGATGGGTATATATTGAAAATGTAAACAATAACACACTCATTTACATCAGCTGATCATGGAAATCTACCACAAAGAAACCACGAAACAACCAAATAATTTTAATTAGGGAAGGTTATTCGTTACCTTGTCTCAGCTCATCCTTGTTTTGGTGTCCTTCACAAGAAAAAATGCACACTCACTTAAACGCCAATTACAATTATTTTCTTACAGATATGAAATCAATACAGTTGTTTCTGAATATCTATGATTTGGCCTTGTAATAATTTTTGTATAATTTTTTGAATTTTGAACTCTTCAATATTTGGCCTTACAGGAAGTAATTAAAATTTTTTTTGGCCAAAATTTTTCCTGTTTAAATTTAGAAATTATGATTCAAAATTGTTTCTATGACTCAGAAACAATTTATATTGCAAGTATTAATCTTAAGCAACAAAAATTTATATGTGCTAATTAATACTTCATATGCATTAAACTAGATGTTTCTGAACAAATTGTAACTATTTATTTTTTAGATCATGAAGTGTCTATTTGCAAAAGCTTTTACAACTTGTGATAGGACTTAACTTCAAGCAAAATTTCGAAAATCCTTTGCAAGTAATAAACATGTTATTGATATTTGAAGTTGGGATAAAGCAACCAAGAAAGGTGATGTGTGTACACTGATAAAAATTGTATTGCATAACTATAAAAAAACGCAAATATGGAGTCTACTGTATGTATATTCATTTAATCAGTACAAAGATTACCAAAGAATAAACAACTAACTAAATGGAAAACTTCGCAAAATTATATTTAAGTCCATAATGTTTTTTTTTAGTATTCTGGAGCTTCTGATCTTTAATCTTCATCCCTCATGGTATCTCCATTAACTTTACATTTCAAATTTGCTTTCCTCGTTTTGGAACTACAACTTCTGAATTATAAGCAACTTCGCCTTGTATCAGAATTTCATTTGGACCTTGTGCCACTGAGCAGGAGGATATTTCAGACGCCTAAATTTCACCTAAATTAGTTACAGTTCTAGTTTTACCATTATTTCTATCTTGCAAATTTTTTTTTCAATTTGTACAAACACCCTGTTGGGTGGCAGAAATGAGACATCTTATTTTACTCTTAAAATGTCATAAAATGCCTTATATTTCATTTGGTGAAGCGTCTTTTCGCAATTTAATGTATTTAAAATTGTTTCATCTTTCTAGGTTTTTAATTCAAGACACTTTGAGCATACATCAGTGCAAGGTGTTAAATANTCTAGGTTTTTAATTCAAGACACTTTGAGCATACATCAGTACTAGGTGTTAAATATTTTTCTAAAATTTTACTTTCAATGACTTATCACAAGGATTGTTATACAATCAGTGCATTTTCTGAGGACTTTGGTCGATAATAGTGTGATTCGATTCGCTGGAATGTTTTAATGAAATTTATAATCAAGGTCCTTTTATCGTCGTATAATTTCGTGCGACGATCCCCCCCACAACTCCGGTAGAAAGAAACCTTTAGACATGTATAGTCTCGTTTCTACAAATACGTACTGATTTGGAGTGTACTTTGTCAAAATATTTTAAAGTAATAGCGCTAACGGATTTTAAAATAAATCCGTCTTGCTCAGATTTTGTAATAGCAACACTTTTAATTATGTTACCAACATAACGAGTAATAAGAAGAAATCACGCGGTACACAGCATGCGCAAAGCCAAATAATTATGGATGTAGCCGTCTTTGCAACATACTAGCATATTTAAATACATTTCCAAGTGGGATGTAGCAGTTTTTGAACGAACTGACTTTACCATTTTTGATAAAAATTGTATTGCATAACAATAAAAAAGCAAAAATGGAGTTGTACTGTATGTATATTCATTTAATCAGCACAAAGATTACCAAAGAATAAACAACTAACTAAATGGAAAACTTCGCAAAATGATATTTAAGTCCATAATGTTTTTTTTAGTATTCTGGAGCTTCTGATCTTTAATCTTCTTCCCTCATGGTATCTCCATTAACTTTACATTTGAAATTTGCTTTCCTCGTTTTGAAACTACAACTTCTGAATTATAAGCAACTTCGCCCTTGTATCAGAATTTCATTTGGACCTTGTGCCACTGAGCAGGAGGATATTTCAGACGCCTAAATTTCACCTAAATTAGTTACTGGTTACTGGTTTTACCATTATTTCTATCTTGCAAATTTTTTTTTCAATTTGTTTAAACACCCTGTTGGGTGGCAGAAATGAGACAACCCAATGCAAAGATTAGACTTCATTAGATCCTTTTGAATACTCTTGATCTCTCCATACATATAAAGCTGTCTTTTGTAATACACAATTTGATCTGGAACCCTGGGAATTGGAAAATTTTTCTCACAATCAAATGATATAGTAACTAGATTATCTTATTTTACTCTTAAAATGTCATAAAATGCCTTATATTTCATTTGGTGAAGCTTCTTTTTGCAATTTAATGTGTTTAAAATTGTTTCATCTTTCTAGGTTTTTAATTCAAGACACTTTGAGCATACATCAGTACTAGGTGTTAAATATTTTTCTAAAATTTTACTTTCAATGACTTATCACAAGGATTGTTATACAATCAGTGCATTTTCTGAGGACTTTGGTCGATAATAGTGTGATTCGATTCGCTGGAATGTTTTAATGAAATTTATAATCAAGGTCCTTTTATCGTCATATAATTTCGTGCGACGATCCCCCCCACAACTCCGGTAGAAAGAAACCTTTAGACATGTATAGTCTCGTTTCTACAAATACGTACTGATTTGGAGTTTAAAGTAATAGCGCTAACGGATTTTAAAATAAATCCGTCTTGCTCAGATTTTGTAATAGCAACACTTTTAATTATGTTACCAACATAACGAGTAATAAGAAGAAATCACGCGGTACAGAGCATGCGCAAAGCCAAATAATTATGGATGTAGCCGTCTTTGCAACATACTAGCATATTTAAATACATTTCCAAGTGGGATGTAGCAGTTTTTGGACGAACTGACTTTACCATATCTGATAAAAATTGTATTACATAACAATAAAGAAGCAAAAATGGAGTTATACTGTATATATATTCATTTAATCAGCACAAAGATTACCAAAGAATAAACAACTAACTAAATGGAAAACTTCGCAAAATTATATTTAAGTCTATAATGTTTTTTTTAGTATTCTGGAGCTTCTGATCTTTAATCTTCATCCCTCATGGTATCTCCATTAACTTTACATTTGAAATTTGCTTTCCTCGTTTTGGAACTACAACTTCTGAATCATAAGCAACTTCGCCTTGTATCAGAATTTCATTTGAACCTTGTGCCACTGAGCAGGAGGATATTTCAGACGCCTAAATTTCACCTAAATTAGTTACAGTTCTGGTTTTACCATTATTTCTATCTTGCAATTTTTTTTTTCAATTTGTGCAAACACCCTGAAATGAGACAACACAATGCAAAGATTAGACTTCATTAGATCTTTTTGAATACTCTTGATCTCCCCATACATGTAAAGCTGCCTTTTGTAATACACAATTTGATCTGGAACCCTGGGAATTGGAAAATTTTTCTCACACTCAATGATTATAGTAACTAAATTATATTTTTTACTCTTAAAATGTCATAAAATGCCTTATATTTCATTTGGTGAAGCTTCTTTTCGCAATTTAATGTATTTAAAATTGTTTCATCTTTCTAGGTTTTTAATTCAAGACACTTTGAGCATACATCAGTGCAAGGTGTTAAATATTTTTCTAAAATTTGACTTTCATTGAGTTATCACAAGAATTGTTATACAATCAGTGCATTTTCTGAGGATTTGATCAACAATAGTGTGATTCGATTCGCTGGAATGTTTTAATGAAGTTTGTAATCGAGGTCCTTTTATCGCCATATAATTTCGTGCGACGATCCCCACCACAACTCCGGTCGAAAGAAACCTTTAGACATGTATAGTCTGGTTTCTACAAATACGTACTGATTTGGAGTGCACTTTGTCAAAATATTTTAAAGTAATAGCGCTAACGGATTTTAAAATAAACCCGTCTTGCTCAGATTTTGTAATAGCAACACTTTTAATTATGTTACCAACATAACGAGCAATAAGAAGAAATCACGCGGTACAGAGCATGCGCAAAGCTAAATAATTATGGATGTAGCCGTCCTTGCAACATACTAGCATATTTAAATACATTTCCAAGTGAACTGACTTTACCATATCACGAAACATTTTTGATAAAATATGGATATAGCCGCTTTTGCAAATAGATGCCTCATATGTGAGCAGGAAGGGTCTTACCCCTACTTCTGTCAAAACAACTGAGTCTTTTTATTAATAAAGTCCACGTGAATTTAAGTACCATAACCGATTTAAGTTAAAATTTATGTGGACTTAGTTTAGTTACAAAACGGAATGCCAAATATGTGGACTTTTTGTGTGATAAATTACCTTATAAATTGCAGTTAATTTTTAAGTTAAGGCGATGAAGATTTTTGCTTCACATTTGGAAGTATTAAATTTAAATTGCGATTTTGTGAGCCAATCACCAGAATCTGCATATTGAGCTGGCCTTGATACTCTGGCCTTGGCCATTTTTATTTTGGACACACAAGAATCTGCAGTGTTGTATTGGTGTAAATTAGTGATGGAATGGATAGTGATTTTGCGAAAAATTTTATTAATTTTTTAAAAAATTTATTTCTCAAGAACTAAAAGTGATTTTTCAAAACGGCTTTTTGCATTAAAAAGAGGATACAATAATTAATAATTGGTGATATTTCCACAAGGATCCTTCAAGAAATGAATTTTATAGCGAATTTTGAAAATTATCGATGAAAATTGCAAATTATCAAAACTTCAAACATTGTTTTCTCAAAAACTAAAAGTTACTTTTCAAAACGGGTTCGGTCATTGGAAAGAGGACACTTTTATTAACACTTTGGGAAATTTTCATACTCATATTCCAAGAAGTGGATTTTATACGAATTTATAAAACTAAATCGGCGAAAATTACAAAATTCGAAAAAATTGTAGATTATTTCAAAAATTTATTTCTCAAGAACTAAAAGTGATTTTTCAAAACGGCTTTTTGCATTAA